TTTTCTTACTCCACTCGCCTCTGTGTACCTAGCAGTAAGTAAGAACCTAGTTGTTAGTCGATTGGCAGAGCGATTTTCCGGGGGTAATAATCCCTTCAAATAAATAAATAATAATAATGTGGTTACTCAACCCAAGACAGTTTGTGGGACACTGCTTTGTGTAATTGACTGCTGTGTTTCGCCCACAAAACACACAGTCAATTCACTTTACAGTATATTCGGTAAAGCGCTTTGAGATTTCTCGAAAATGTGATAAGGTGCTATATCAAATGCAAGGATTATGATATTATTCTAAACATTAATACTGCTTTATCCATTTTGGTTACCATGCCAACCAGTGTTCAAACTGTAAAGATCCTTTCGACCCTTGTGATGGGTAAAAAGTTGGTTTAGGAAAGGCATGAGGAGTCCATCCCCCAAGCACATAGAAATTGGTAGAATGAACTAGATTAGACTGACAAGATGACCACTGTAAGAGATTCGGATGAAGACAACCAATACGGTTGTGTAATAATCCAAGGTTTATTTAGTAATACAAATAGCTTAACTTATTCTTAAAACTGAGACTATAGATACAGTAGAATCGATATTGATTCCACTGGGAAGTGCGCTGACTCTCTACACAACTCCAACTATTTCAAAGTTACATCTTTCTTTTATGTGTTGCTAACTCCACCTCCCCTTGTCACAGAGATAGGCCCCACCCTTCGCAGGCCTGCTAGCAATTTTTGAGCTGGTTCTTTTCGCGTGGGAAAATAACTGATACGGAGAAAGAAATATGGACAGCTAATTGGGAGGATTCCTGTTTCTTAGTCTTGAGCGAATCAGATGTCCAGGAGTGTGCTTCTCTCTCTGAATCTCCCTGTTTTCACATCGGTGCTCAAGGACATGAATACTCAATTCCTAGTTGGGAGGATGATATAGAACCCAGGCACCGAGCGAGGGAATGTTATCAGAACCTGCCCTCAGCCGGGGTCAAGCCAATATATCTTTATCTTTGCTACTCTAATTGCTACATGTACCCTAGCAGTTAGTCATTTAAAAATACAAGCCTTGTTTATACTCTAATAGCTAAGGAATGATATACTAAACAGATTGCGAGTGTTCGGTTATATTTTAAAAGTATACTAATTAAAAATCTTAAAAACAGTAAGCATCACAAATATAATCTTACACCACTTTCATTTCAAAGTAGGACAAGTATGATATTTCCAAACAACGCAATGGAACCATTATGCTTGTTGAAGCTTAACTAAGGGTCAAAAATAAAAACTGAAGCTGCTGGGAACACTCAGCAGGTCAGGCAGCATCTATGGAGAGAAGAAAGTAAGTTAACGTTTCAGGTCAATGACCATTCATCAGAACTCAAGGTCCTTTGGTATAATGCTTTTCAGATCATGAGGATGTCTCAAAGAACTTACTGTGAAGTGGAGTGATTGTGTATTAGTAGGCAAACATGGCAACTTAATCGCGCACAGAGACATCCCACAAATAGCCATGAAACAAATAACTAATTTGGGGGAGGGGGGATTGTAGGCCTGGACATCCATAGACACTCCTTCTCTTTTCGACTGGGATGTTTAATGTCTACCTGAACAGGCGAACAGGACCTGTGATAATGTAAAATATGAAATACAAATATTTCATATTGTACCTTATCACAGGTCCTGTTTGATATTTTATCAATGTATCCCCTTAAGAGTGAGAGAGAGAGAGAATAGTTCTATATCTTAGGAAACTACTTATAATAATAATAATCCTTGCATTTGATATTGCGTCTTGTCATGTCTTTGAGACATCTCAAAGCACTTCATAAAATATACTGTAAAGTGAATTGTGGGTGAAACACAGCAACTAATTGCACAAAGCAGTGTCCCACAAACAGTTGTGGATTGAAGTGACCTTTTTTTTAAAGAAATTAATACCCCCGGAAAAGCGATCCATCAATCGACTTACAGCCGGGTTCCTACTTACTGCTAGGTAAACAGAGGCGTATGGAGTAAGGAAACTTGCCCAACATTTAGAGCACTCGGTTCGCAAGTGAGAAACCTGGGTTCGATTCCCGGCAGGGCAAAACCTTGGGCAAGTTTCCTTACTCCGCACACCTGATAATAATCCCTCAAGAAAAAAAACACAATAATAATTTGGTCACTCAATCTCCACGACTGTTTGTGGAACACTGCTGTGCGCAATTGGCTGCCGTGCTCTGCCCACAAATTTACATTTAATTCACTTTACACTATACTCTGTGAAGCGCTTTGAGATGTCTCGAAGATGTTGAAAAGCGCTATATTAAATGCAAGGATTATTATTATTATAACGTTTCGCCCTACCGGGAATCAAACCCGGTCTCTCGTTTGTGAGGAGAGTGCTCTAACTACTGAGCTACAGGACTTATGAGATCTATGTGCATATATTTACTAGAGAAATTTAGTAAAATATAGGAAATCATGACCATAATTCATAAATCATAAAGAGGGAGAAGTGCTCTCAACCATTCACAAAATCTTTTTACAGACTGTTGTGCTTGAGTAAATTGTTATTGTGTAATGTTTGAATAAGTAACCTATTCTTTGGGTCTAAGTTAATGGGATACCATCGAAAACAATGCAAGGATTCTTACATAATTTATTATTTCCTTTAGATGGGTCTTTGTGAAATATGTATATTTTGCCTTGTAATTGGTGGCCTGCGTCAATAACTGACTTCATATATTGATGATTATCTGGCTCCTAACATTATACATATTAAAATTCGCTGTTGTTTTTTGGCCACATTTCTCACTGTTGAAGTGTTTTGATTGATTTCAGTATTATTATCATTATTATTATTGTTGTTATTATAGGGGAGAGGGGCACAGGAAAGAATCCTGTGCTCTATATACAAACCTCTATTTATCATGCAGAAATGAATTTAAGGGAAAATAATTTAATTCTGTAGTTTAGATGTTTTTATTTGGGGGTTAAAATGTGAAGGGAAAGTGTAATAAATAACCATTATATTTGATAAATAGCCTTATCACATCAAGATGTCTCAAAGTGCTTCATTGGGTTTTACTGCAAAGTGAAGTGACTGTGTATGTCAAAGCAGCAGCCAATTTACACACAATATCCCACAAACAGCTATGGAGCGATCAATGATATTTGGCGAATTGTTGACCAGGCACCAGGAAGAAACACCCTTCCCTTTTCAAGTGGTCCCACAGATCCAAGGTTTAAATAATAATCCATTCATTCCCTGTAACGTCAATCCACAGGGTGTTGCTTGTTATGGAGTGAAATGACTGTGTATTTGTTACTGATGGGATTCCAATGAACCATCTGCATTTCCCACACCTGTCGTTCTCTATTGCACTTGAAGTATATTATGTTTCTGTTTAAGATTTCCAGCTTGGCCAGTTTCTACCCAGATCCTCCCTACCCTGCACCCTTCCTGATTCTAACCCCCAGCTCAGGTGCACGTCCCTGACTGACCAGCACTTTGGGACATCCTCCCAACCAAAAGGCACTTTACAAATGTAATGGGTTGTTGTTGTTGTTGTTTGCAATCCTTACTGGGTGAGTCCTGCTCACCTAAACTGAACACATAACCAAGTCACCTAAACTGAACACATGGGGACGCAAATAAATTGACTATTACTCTTGATTTCAGACAAAAAAAAGGAGTAAAATATGCTATTGTACTCAAGGAGTTGGCCAGGGAGGGAGGGAGGACTTGTGCTCATTTTCAGTAAGCAGGCGGAGCTGAGCTGAGCAGTGACTGATGCGGAGGCCGAGGGGAATTCCTGTCTGTCAGACCCACAGCTTCATTTCACTTTTGTGTTTGCTTGAAAGTTGTTCACACGGAGGGCAGTCGAGCTCCAGGTACTTCCTGATCTTTCGGCCGCTTTGCCTCCGGGAGCAAAAGGACTCTGGTGAAAATGCAGTTTGTGCTCCTCACTTTAAACAGTAAGAGGGAGGGGGCATAGAGCGCAGTGAGGGGAGAGGGCGCAGTGAGGGGAGAGGGCGCAGTGAGGGGAGAGGGCGCAGTGAGGGGAGAGCAGAGTGAGGGGTGAGGGCAGAGTGAGGGGTGAGGGCAGAGTGAGGGGAGAGGGCACAGTGAGGGGAGAGGGCAGAGTGAGGGGAGAGGGCAGAGTGAGGGGAGAGGGCAGAGTGAGGGGAGAGGGCAGAGTGAGGGGAGAGGGCAGAGTGAGGGGAGAGGGCACGGTGAGGGGAGAGGGCACGGTGAGGGGAGAGGGCACGGTGAGGGGAGAGGGCACGGTGAGGGGAGAGGGCACGGTGAGGGGAGAGGGCACGGTGAGGGGAGAGGGCACAGTGAGGGGAGAGGGCACGGTGAGGGGAGAAGGGGGTGAGGGGAGAAGACAGTGAGGGGAGAGGGCACAGTGAGGACACACAGTAAGGGGAGAGGGCACAGTGAGGACACACAGTGAGGGGAGAGGGCACAGTGAGGGGAGAGGGCACAGTGAGGGGAGAGGGCACAGTGAAGACACACAGTGAGGGGAGAGGGCACAGTGAGGACACATAGTGAGGGGAGGGCACAATGAGGGGAGAGGACGTTGAGGACACACAGTGAGGACACACAGTGAGGGGAGGGCCCAGTGAGGACACACAGTGAGGGGAGGACACACAGTGAGGGGAGGGCCCAGTGAGGACACACAGTGAGGGGAGGGCCCAGTGAGGACACACAGTGAGGGGAGGACACACAGTGAGGGGAGGGCCCAGTGAGGACACACAGTGAGGGGAGGACACACAGTGAGGGGAGGGCCCAGTGAGGACACACAGTGAGGGGAGGACACACAGTGAGGGGAGGGCCCAGTGAGGACACACAGTGAGGGGAGGACACACAGTGAGGAGAGGTCCCGGGGAGGACACACAGTGAGGGGAGGACACACAGTGAGGAGAGGGCCCGGGGAGGACACACAGTGAGGGGAGGACACACAGTGAGGGGAGGACACACAGTGAGGAGGGGTGAGGAGGGACAGTGAGTGGGTGGGTGTAGGAGGGGAGCTGAGGGCAGGGCGGGGCGGGGCGGGGGCTGTGAGTTGGGGTTTGCGCGGTGCATGTGTTTTTGAAAAGCTGCAATGGAGGATTCGCGAGGAGAGAGCTTATCCGACATCTCTTCCACTCTGGACGTGATCCCTTACCAGAAGCTGGTGGACTTGCATTACATTAACAAAGGAGGCTATGGCGTGGTGTACAGAGCCCGGCACAGCGACTGGAGGATAACCGTGGCGGTCAAGTGCCTGCAGTTCGACAGTCCTGTGGGGGAAGGGTATGATAACACCATCACTTACACATTGCACAGCCATTGGGGTTGTCCCTCAAGTCTTTTACCAACATCACATAACACGCGGTTCACTTCCATTGGATATTGTAACTGTTCCTCTCTGGTGAGAAACCAATTGCAGATGCGGCGTTTTCCCGCATCATCGCTGCGCCACTCGAATGCTAAACTCTTCAAACTCTTCCCCCTTTCCTCCCAACAAGTTGTTATTTCATGCGAATCACGAGTTGTATAACATCGTTTCGTTCTGCAGTCAGTTCTCTGGTGCCTTTGGTGCGAATGGCACTCAATCCAAAGAACAACATTAAGAACTATTACCTTACACATGTCACTTGAGGGTGTGACATGTTTAGGTGCCTCAGAATGTATTCACTTGGATTTCACTGATGTGGGAATTTCATGCCAACCGATTGTGCTTCCAGATTTACAGTCACTCCCGGTTGTCTGTTGTTCTCCGGTTATTTGTATCAGTTAAGGTGGGGTGTACCAGGGATTGTGTTTCAAGGTCAGATAACAGAGCGAAGAACTGCTGTGGGACATTCATTCTATTGCAGTGTTAAACATTTTCAGGCTGTCAGTTGTCCTCGTCTCAAAATAATAATAATAATAATAATAATCCTTGCATTTGATATAGCGCTTTTCACGTCGGGAGGACGTCCCAAAGCGCTTCACAGAACACACTGTAAAGTGAATTGACTGTATATTTGTGGGCGAACGCGGCAGCCAATTGCGCACAGCAATGTCCCACAAACAGTCGTAGATTGAAAATGACCAATTTATTATTGGTTTTGGGTTTTTTGGAGGGATTATTATTAGGCGTGTGGAGTAAGGAAACTTGCCCAAGGTTTCGCCCTGACCTGCCTGGAATTGAACTCAGGTCTCTCACTTGCAAAGCGAGTGCTCTAACCACTGAGCTACAGGACTCCACGATGATACTCCCATGTGAGGAATGCCCACACCAGCAGTCGGTGTAATTGTCATGCGACTCTGCTCTGTCATTATTTACACTATTTACTACTTCATAGCTTAGTAAACCACCATTTGAGATTCACTCATTCTGGCCACAGACTGAACACAGAATATGTTCAGAAAAGTTCCAGCCAGGTGAACGTTTCTGAAAGTGGATTGGTGGCTTGTTGATGTGGCCTACAGCAGTCAGGCAGCCAGGAAACAGCCATAAGGTGATTTATCAATACGATTGTTGGTCAAAACACCACAAAAATCTTCTCTCTTTTCAAATAGTGCCATGGGGATATTTAACTCCATGCTATTTGACCAGATAGACAGGACTTTAGTTTAAACCCTTAGGAACAAAAACAACAACAAGATTACATTTGTATAGTGCCTTTCATGTCCGGAGGATGTCCCAAGGCGCTCCACAGTGTGATTGGGGTAATTGGGGGATGGAATTCCCGAGGTTGGGGGCAGAGTGGCTGAAAGTTCTCCCACCAACGGTAGGGTGGGTGAGTTGGGGGACGTGGAGCAGGCCGTAGCTGGCTAAGCGGAGGGAATGGGCGGGTTGGTAGGGGGTTAGGAGGTCACAGAGGTAGGGTGGGGCGAGGCCATGGAGGGCTTTGTAGATGAGGATTAGGATCTTGAACTGGATCCTCTGAAGGATAGGGAGTCAATGGAGTTGGGTGAGGATGGGGGTCACAGAGATTGGTGCGGGAGAGGACATGGGCTGCAGAGTTCTGGATTATCTGCAGCCTGTGGAGGGAGGAGTTGGGAAAGCCGATAAGCAGGGAGGGCGTTTGCATAGTCGAGCCTGGAGGTGATGAAAGCATGAACAAGAGTTTCAGCAGCCTGTGGGGTGAGATAGTGGCGGAGTCGGGCGATGTTACGGAGGTGAGGGAAGGCAGAGCGGGTCATGGCTTGGATGTGGGGAAGAAAACAAAGTTGAGGGTCGAACAAGACACTGAGGTTCCTGACTGTTTGGTGAGTTGTAGTGTACAGCCATGGAGTTTGTTGCTGCCAGAGCCTGAGGTGCTGAGGCACTGGTGCGAGCCAATCAGGAGGGCCTCAGTCTTGTTCACATTCAACTGTAGGAAATTTGCCCTCATTCATGACTTGATGTCCGACAGGCAGTCTGTCAGGACAGCAGTGGTCCTGGAGTTGAGGGTGGAGGCAGAAAGATAGAGTTGGGTATCATCCGCATACATATGGCAGTTGACCCCATGTCTGCGGACGATGTCACCAAGGGGGAGCATATAGATATTAAAGAGGGGAGGGCCAAGGACAGAGACCTGGGGGATGCCAGGCATGACAGTGCGGGGGGAAGTCCTTGTGACGTGAATGGCGCTACATACATGCAATTTATTGTTAACATCTCATTTGAAAAAATGTCACCTTGACAATGGAGCAGAGGCTCCCTCAGTACTGCACTGGAGTGTCAGCCTTGAACCTATGCATACTTTCGACCTAGAGACAAGAGCTTTACCAACTGCAAAGTTGACACATTCCTTCGAGAGACAACTAAACTGCTTGTTAGCAGTTTAGTTGTTCATTTTGTTAGAAAATAAAATCAGCCAAATCTGCAAGGAAATAACGCTAATTCCTCTAACCAGATATCAGACTGTTTTATTATAATTCGTTCGTTATTCCCCAATATCCCGATGGGTCAGACCAAAGGCCGGTACAATCAACAGATCTTATAACAGAATAACACCACTATAGATATCTCGAGTTCAAGAGTTCAACACTGTGTCTTTCCAGCACACAAGCTTGATTCTTCATGCTTTCAGTCTTCTTGCTTACAGCTTTCAATCTTCCATCTAATATCCTCAGTCTTAGTGTTTCCAGCTCTCAGTCTTTCATCTCCCGTATCCTTGTCTCCACGATCTGGGACGGCTCCATCTCCCGTATCCTTGTCTCCGCCCCGTACACAAAGTTATCAGAACTCTTATGCCAATGTTCATCCAATCATGGTGTGGATATTAGATCACCCGGTCGAAATCATGCCGGGTTCACGTGAACACCTCATGGGGTGTATGTGCCTCACACACACAAACGCACTGTCCTTGAGACAGTCCGTTATCTCGTGTACGTGCAGGGAGTTTCAGTCCAGCTGCCCACAACACACTTAACTTAAAAGTTAACCCGTTCGCAACATCTATTATGATTCTAACATTATACAAAAAGTGTAAATTCTAACAGTCCCCACCTTGATACCGAATGAACATGAGGCATCACAAAATTGCAAAAAAAAAATACAAAATCAGAAAAATACTACAAGGTTACACAACCTGATAGTACAAAAAGACAGATAATACAAAGTCAGAAAAATAGTACAAGGTCACACAACCTGGGAGGGAGGATGGTACTTCCAGGAGGCAAACTCTCTTAATGAGCTTTCTCTCGAGTTTCACAGCTCAGTCGTAACCAACAGGTTATTTCCAGTGACCACAGCCACAATTACTGTCGGTCCCGGTCCCTCTCCTTACCCAGAGGTAATAGGGGATTTCCCACTGACTGTTCGAACGCCCGAAAGTTATTCCATCACTTACGCAATTTCCACATCGACACACAATATATCAACATATTCGAATGTCGTTCACACGCACATCAGCGCACATAAATGCCTGGTGCGATCGCCAGCGTACTCAAATGCCTGACAAGGAGACAATCACAAACTTCCTAGGTAATATAGTCAAATATTCAGCTTTAAAAACAATCAGACATGCAACATCATTAAACGTTCGTCAAGGCTTGATTGTTTCAGTCCAGCTGCCCAGAACACACTTAACTTAAAAGTTAACCCGTTCGCAACATCTATTATGATTCTAACATTATACAAAAAGTGTAAATTCTAACAATTTGTGAGATCCAAAAGATTTAACTATAACTAATAATAAAGGTCTGAACATTTGCTTGCAGAGCTAGTTATAGTAGCAACGGTGTAAACATTATTAAGAACTCAAAGGCTATGGAATAAATATCCTAACAATACCACTCTTCATGTTGAATAACATACAGCAGCAGTTGAGAAACTGATTGCAAATCACCAGAAAGCAATAGAAACAATCTGCTTCTTTGATGCATTGTTACAAGGTATCAACAATGACTACAAATTACATTTGTATAATACTTTTCATGTCAGGAGGGCGTCTCAAGGCTCTGACATCAGAATTGGTATTAGTTTCACTCATATTTCCAGGATGTTGATGAGCTTTAGGTAAACTGAGTTCCTTTAAGTAAACTATAACTATTTCAAAGTTGATGGTGTCTTTCCCATTATTTGGAAGAATACTTGAAATTCAACGATTCATATCTATCATAATAGAACATTCAGCCCATCATAATCCTGGTGCTGGTGTTTATGCTCATGAGTCTCCATCTCTCTTAATCCCCTTTCTCCAATCCCCTCCCATATTCTTATGTTTCCTTCTCCCTCATGTATGACTTAATGAGGTGTAGTCATTTCCTATAGCCCTAGCTAGTGAATGTTGATGTGGCACTTCCAGAATGTGACTGAGACTGGATTATAGTTGCCGGTTAAAAGTTCCCGAGAATTCACGCACTCAATACTGACAAGCCAAACATGGGAATCCGCCTTCTGTTATCCTTGGCACTTTGACACAAATCTTATTTCCAATTACTGTATCATGCAAATACAATTTGAGGTAACTCACGCTGTAGAGGAAGAGGACAAAATTCAAGCGGTACAAGGGAACCTAAAAATAAGACAGAGAAGTACTAAATGGATTTAATATAAATTAAAAAATGGTAATGGAGAAGTAAAGATCAACAAATCTCTAGGACCTGATGGATTCCATCCCAGGGTATTAAAGGAAGTAGGGGTGGAAATTGCAGATAACAATAGTCATAATTTGGGAGGATGGCCAAAGGCCCAATCAAAGAGGAAGGTCTTCAAACAGGACTTGAAGGAGGCAATAGAGGGGTTGAGGGAGTGAGGTGGAGGGATTGCGGGATAGAGTTGTAGAGTATGGGGACAGAGATGCTGAATGCCCGACCGCCAATGGTGGGGCGGA